TGATATAAAATTAAAATTTTCTATAATTATTGAAAATATGATAATTCGATTCAAGAAAATTATGAACGAATGCAAAATATATACGTAAATATTGAGTTTTACTAAAAATTAAACAATTTTACTTTAGTATTTTTATATAATAAAATGAAAGTATGTCTTATAAAGTTTAGATTTGTTGAGTTATAAAATAAAGAATATTATTCTATACTGTCAATATATTACCTGTTCTGCGATAATCTCTCCGATATAGCAAAATATAAAAATATTGAAAGCCATTGATAAGTATACGTTTACGTAAGATGCTATTTTGGTTGCATCGAAATCGGCCCAAGCCTAAAAGGTTATAACGCTAATCTTTGGGACCGTTATACAAGGTGAGGAAAAAGTATCAGACCGGTAAAATATCTCGAAAACAATGAATTGTAGAAAAAATTGCTTCAGACAAAAGTTTTGAGGTTTAAAAAGACGCATTTAATAGCAGTATTATTTTGACCATAAGTGGCATTGCAAATCGAGTTAAGGTCAACTTTATTTTTTTAAGTGGAAAGTCTTATTATTTATTGTATGATCTTTGTCTACTAATTAATTTGAACAACTTTTGCCTGACATATTTTTTTTCTAATCCATTGTTTTTTAGATATATTACCGGTCCGATACTTTTTCTTCACCTTGTATAATAACATGATCAACCTGTTTCCGCTTCATCTTCTTGATAATATAATAACATTTAAATATTTATAAATAAAGAAATTGATTGATTGATGCATTTAATAAGGTATCAATTTTCTATATCTTCAACATACCATGATTAAATAATATCCTAGTAAACACAAATTTATCGTACATCCCATCAATTCCGCAAGAGAGATCTTATTTATAATACTTTCCACGCGTGCTATAAAACTGAAATGTGTGTGATAATGCTCATAATCATTAGACGTAAATTTTTTTTCGAGAGAAGGTATATCTACATACAAATACAATAAAATTGATTACGTATGCGTATCAATAACGGCATCTGTCTTTTTAGTAATTAAAAAGATCAATGTTTATTCTAACAAGAATGTCTATATATCTTTGACAAGTTTTATATAAAATATACGAAGCCTAAAGTATTTTAGAAAGTGTATTTTCTATTTTTCGTACCTCAATACTCTGAGATGGTGCTCCACGATAACGGCCAGTTTTCGTTCGGCTTTATGATTTTTCTCTTGGTTTTCTACAAGTTCATGTAGCCATGCACATAGCACGTTCAATTGACCACAGGCGTGCATTGCGAAGACGGCCGCCAGGCTGCAACCACCGACGGTAGATGAACTTACTATAAATGTTGACAGAAACTGCACAATCAATGCGATTTCATTCACAGGGCTGAATCTTGTATCGATAATCTTGCTATATATCGGACACGTCATTGGATGCATTCTAAAGGTCTCGTTGCCGACAGTGATAGGCACAGTTTTTATCGCTTTAGCTATGCTAAACAGGAATGCACCGCCATGCATAATCACCCCGCAGATCCCGGCGACGAAACGACCGAACTTGGCGTACTGCAACATTATTTCGCGATCTTCGAACCTATTTATGATTTTCCAATCTTCCTCCATATGTCGTATTAATTTACGAATGTCGCCACTACGTTTCAAAAGCACCCATTAATTTACCGAACCCATAACTCTGTGAAGCAACGGACCAATGGCACTCAATTTCAATTTGATGTTGGCTTCCTCGAATAACACGTATAATGTGCATGGTATCATTATACATGCCACCACGATCACGCAAATAAAGATGTGTAACAATACGAGTATCTTGCACGTCGTGCTTGAGCCGTTCATTTGTGGCCAACCGCCAATTGGTTTCAGGAACCATCGATTCAGTTGAAGACTATAATCATTGTTACTCATAAAGCTAGTACCTGTGGACATATGTTCCGACTTCGTCATTGTTACTTCACGAAGGCTCCCGATGTACTGTCGACGTGGACGCAGTGCGCTTGCAAGAATTGTATATTCGGATATGCGCCTGCGTCAACTTCGAATGAAGTTTGGCAACTTTATATTGACGTTTTTTTTTCTGAGAAGCACGCTTGCACATTCGATCAATAATATAATCGTCTATAGCGTGTTTTTTATTTTGTCAGTTTGACAGGAAATCGTATGGAGAGGCAGACGAGAATACACTTGCGAAAGTAAGTACAAATTTTGTGAAATATTGATCTTATTAATTACTAAATTTTAGGCGAATCGTCAAGCGATATTCGCTAAACTTTTAAAAAATTTAATTGTAGGAAAATTTGCTGTATGTATCATAAACATTAATTGTTTTTTATGTAATATTAATATACTTGGAAAATATTTTGTCTATTCTATACAGAATATGTTGTCTAACTTTTTAATTTGCTACATATTTTTAATTAACTACATTACTAACTGAAAACATTTTACGTAGTCAATGTTTACACAATTTTTAAATAAGCCGTGGAAGTTTTAATTACCTGAAACAGTAAAATTTTTGTTTCTATTGATACCATACTATTTCGTATATTGAAAAACGGTATGCATTTTAGGCATTTTGGGGAGCACACAGGAATCGTTGGATTTATTTTTTTTTACTTATTATTACTTGCTGAATCTGAGAAAAAATGCTTAAAAAATCGTAGTATCTAAGAAAAGTTTTTAAACACATTTTATACTGAAGTAAGTAATTGTTGATTTTATCACTTTCTCAACTCCTGTCAGCGCTGTTATTATATTTTTATTAGAATTGTGGTGTTATTTGTATTAAATAAGATTTTGTGATGAAGACTATTATTGTAGAGTGTTTATGAAATACGAGAAGCTCTTTTTAAGTAATATATTTTTCTTTAGTACACCATAATCGAATAATATCTAAGTAAGCTCATATTTAGCGTGCACCCCAACAATATTGTGAGGCAGACTTTGTGCATAATGCTCTCCATACACGCTATAAAACTGTAATACGTTTTTATGATTGTAGTAAGTTTAAGTTTGAAGTTCTTGCTGACAAAACATTCTTGCAAGAAGTTGTCGCACATGTATTTTTATATTCCATACAATGACAATATATTTTAATTATTTTGATACATGTATGTTTCTGTGTGTGTGTGTAACAGAAATAAATATCTATTTCTAAAGCGTGTCATATTTGTTAAGGCTAATTACAACCAAGAAGTACACATTTATAATAAAGTAGAATACCTTAGGGCTCTTAAGTGATGCTTTACAATAGCAGCCAATTTTTGTTCAACCGACTGTTTCCCCTTTTTGTCGTAATCGTTGACAAATTCGTTTAACCATGCGTATACAACACGTGGAGTTGGCCGCAGGTGTACATTGTGAGAACACCAGCGAGGCTGCAAACACTCACTATTGCGGAACTCACTGCCAATGCACGAATTGCACAGGCATCATGACTTCGTTTATAGGGCTGAATCTCATGTTGATAATCTTGCTTTAGGCTGGACATGTCATCGGAAGCGTTTAGAAAATCTCGTGCCGATTATAATGGTCGTAATTTTTATTGCTTTTGCCGTACCGAAAAGTAACTGATTGTTCTGCGTTGTCGCCGCACTGGTGGCGGCAAGAAAACGTCCGTATTTGGCATATTGTAGTATCGCTATACGGTCTCTGAGTCTTTATATGAGCCGCTAATCCGCATCTCCGTGTGTTGTATACAATTGCGAATGTCGTGGCTGCGATGGAGCAGTATACAATAGCTTCTTGACCCCATAATCCTGTAAAGAAGAAGCAAAATAGTGCCTGGCTTCGGCCAGGAAACAGAAAAGTACCTTAAGAAAGGTATCTTAAACTAATAGTACGCAAATTAAGTTGTGTTTTTAAAGTTACATTTGCTCTTATATAATTACTTCAAGGAAAATGGTCATTTTTTTCGATAATAAATGCAGAAATTTAACTTAAAAAAGGAATCGAAAGGAACTCGTAAATTAGGTATTATAAAGATTAGTGGCTATATATTTGCCTTATAAATTACTTGCAGAAGCTTGCAGAAATAAAAATTATAAACTTCTTATGTAAGCTGCAGTTATAAAGGATGCGTATTCAAGTGACTAATTATTCTGACGAATTTGAAAGATACTCTCTATTTTTATTTTTTGTACGTTTTTAAAGATAATAATTTACTTCAAAGTGTAAAAATATTTTTTACCTTTAGATTAAATATAAATATTCTTTATAATAATGAGTTATAACTTAATTTTTTTTATCACTGTTTTTACATCTATAAAATTTTTAGAAAAATCGGTTAGTAAAATAATTACATTCATATAATTAACTGTTATTAATTATTATTTATTATTAATTTTCTATATTTAAACACCTAATATAGGAGTAATTTTTACTAAAATCTAATAACCAGTTATACGTTTATGATCTCCACTTCAACAAACATAAAAACCTATTAAGAGCTTTCCAGCAAGCGACACAATTCGACACAAGTGTCGTTTTGTCTTTGTTACTTATTGCCAAAAAATAAAGATAGAATGACGTTTGTGTCGACTTGTGTCGCTTGCTGGAAAGCTCCCATTATATATTATATAATCAAAAATATCTATTCATACGTAAAAGCTATTACTTTTTCGATCGTCTACGTTCAGATCGGTACCACTATGGACCAAAGCACATATGACAGTCGTAGTCGTGGACGTAAGCAACGCACAAGCTTTGGCGTATCCGGATGTCAGGTCGGGGACTATGACCGTCGTATATCACTACGCCATGTTATGTGCTTTGGCCCTATTTATCGGTTTGAGGCACCATCATTTGCAGACTATAATTGTTTTGATGTGCTTGAAATCAACGTTCCCAAAATCACGTTTCGGGGGTGTCATACTTGCTCGGTGAAGATGCCTGATGTTCTGCCTCGGCGGGCAATGTTCAAGCGATGATTTTATTCGTGTAAGCGCGTGCGCTAACTTCTGGAAGAGTTTGACGAACGCTTACATTGATGTTTTCTTTTTTTAATTGACACTGGCAGCACTGAGTGCTTGAAGCGTATTTCATTGGTAGAATTAGTGATCATGTTTCTGAAAAACTCGAAAATTACGGGCGGCACTGAGACACTGAGTGCCAGTGAGTTTTTTCCAATGTAAGACGCCTTGAGAGTTTTGCATGCGTACCGGATCGATTTTTTCGTATCAAATGCTTTATCTTGTCAATTTTGCAAGAGGCCGTTTTCGAGGAGGAATATTTTTTTGTGGCTGTGCATGCAAGTTTCGTAGAATATTGAGTTTTTATTTCTTTAGTTTCGGGGAAATCGTGAGGAAAACTATTTGTACTCTTAATAATTTAATCGCAGATAATTTTGTTATATCAGAATTATTATTAAGTGTGTTTATTTAACATCTATTCTATTTGTAAAATATTCCATGCGTGTGTTTTATAACTTTTTAACGCTTTTATGCAGTCATTGTTCGCAAAATATTTAAATATGCCGTGGAAGTTTTGATTATCTGAAATGGCAAAATTTCTCGCTTTTTTTGTTAACAATAAATGAACAACGATTTATTATATTATGGATATTTTCTTTGATATATATGTACTACATATATATTGTATCAAATTAAATCCTGCTCAAGTCATTATGTACACGTACAATTATTATAACAATAATTTATGAACGATAAAAAAGTAAAATTGCAATTTTGTTCGACATCGTCAATAATTGTAGTATGTATGTTACTTACGTCGCCGAAAGTTGCTATGGATAAATGAAATAGTTTTCCCGCAGTTATTTTTATAACGTGACTTGATTGCATGATTACCAATATGAGACCAAGTGCTGTTTTATTTGGCAGTTTATACCAATCAGTCATATATGCCATTTTTCCAACATTTTTACACTAATAAATGAAAATATTTAGAAATTTCTTCAAGTATCTATCTAAACGTCTAATGATGATAGTAAAATTAGGTAAATGATATGATTAATCATATTTATTTGTTTGTCTTGTACTACTGTAGTTACAATTTAATGGCTAGTATGAGTCTGGAGTGCGGTTGTACGTACGGTAAATTAAATTATATATAGTACAAATATATTTACACTGTTATTGCGATTTCTGTTATTTCGATCTCTAGTAAGATTTTCAGTTGGTGACCTTTAGTGGACTAACGAGGATTTCAGTAGGGATCGATAATGGTTCTAGACATTGGAATAAGAGTATAATGACTTGTGCTATGTATATAACTTGATATTAAAAAAATATTTTGATATGTTAATACAATTATTTTATCTGCTTTGAAAATACAATAATAAAATATTAATAATCAAGCATTTAATATTTTTATATTTTTGTATACATATACCGAAACGACATTGTATTGTATTTAATATGTAATCAAAATGAATGAATTCTCACGTCTAAAAAATTCTTTTTATTTCAAGATATTACCTGTTCCGTGAGGATCTCTCCAATGTAACAAAATATAAATATATTGAAACCCGTCGATATGTATCCGATAAAATATGATAATACTTTTGCTCTGTTAAACGTACCCCAGTTCTGGAAAATCAATTGATAGCTTTATTTATTGCGGAAAAATAAAATAATCCATTTTTGTGGCATTTCAGTTTTTTTATTCGCGACGTGAAAGGAAGTTTTATTCATTTTTAACATACCATAATAAAATAATATCCAAGGAAACACATATTCATCGTGCATCCCATTAATTCTCCTAGACAGGCTTTATGCATAATACTTTCTATTTGTTCTACAAATCTGAAACATTTTTCTACAATTACGACACATTCAGGTGTGATGCGTTTCTTTTATAAAACTCATTTTAGATCTACGATGTATCTACGATTTGTGGTTACAGCATTTAGAATATTTTTTTTGCAATTTTTTTTATTGTGTAATATGAAAAATTAAATACATTGAAATAATTGGAATACACACATATTTATCCTGAAATTTGACGCGAGTTGAATGTAGATCGTTTTTAAAATGAGTTTAAATATTTGTATGGGAGTCCGTTTCTCTCTCTCTCTCTCTCTCTCTCTCTCTCTCTCTTTCTCTCTCTTTCTCTCTCTCTCTCTCTTTCTCTCTCTCTCTCTCTCATATGCTTAAATTATACGTTACAATATTTCAAATTTAGCGTAAGATATTAGTTCACGCATGCAAAGTAACGTATTTTATTTTATTTATCTGTAATACTTAGTAAATAACTCACACAAAGTGCAATCAAAACTCTATATCTATAAGTAAAATACCTGAGGACTCTCCAATGATGTTTCACGATGGCTGCAAGTCTTTGTTCTGCTAAATGAGTTTTCTTTTCCTCGGCGAGCTCGTTTAACCACGTATGCATTACACTCAATTGACCGCAAGCATGCGTCGCAAAGACGGCAGCGAGACTGCAAATAGCTACTGTAGAGGAACCCACTACAAAAGCCGAGAAAATTTGTATACCCAGCATGATTTCGTTCGCAGGGCTGAGTCTTACGTCGAGTATCTTGCTGTACATTGGACATGTCATCAAATGCATCGTAATAGTTTTGTTGCCGATGATAACGGTTGTTGTTTTTATCGACGTGGCCACGGTAAAGAACAACGTAGCACCATGCATAAACGTCGCGCAGAACGTGGTCATGAAGCGGCCGATTTTGGCATATTGTAACATCACTTCGCGGTCAACGTTTTTATGAACGAGTTTCCAATCCGTCTCCATATGCTGTATGCAACGCTGAATGTCTCCATTACGCGTGAGTAATATCCAGTAATTTATGGCTCCCATGAGTCTGCTAATCAGCGGGACAAAGGATTTTAATTTAGTTTTGATATCTCTTTTCTCAAGTGACATGTACAACATGCATGGTATCAGAATGATCGCCATCGAAGTTAAAAGAATGAAGATTTGTATTAACATCACAATTTTTTTCATTTTTTTCGACGCGCTTGTTTGTGGCCAAATACCTAGCGATATGAGAAACCATCGAGTTAATTGTATACTATAGTCATTGATGTTTTCGTTATCTGTTACATGTTTCGTATCGCTCATGATCGTTTCGCGAAGACGACCGATACGATACTGCCACGATCATCTAAAGTTTTGCTTAGCTGTAGCTAGAGACATGCATAAATACGCTTGCGCCAGCTTTTTAGAATGTTTTTGTGATGGGCCCCGTTGATGGCATTGTCCTAAGAAGAGCGCACGCTCGTACTCAATCAATAATCTTTCTTTCCACGAAGCCTGCCTGTCAGTTTGACAGGAGACCGCGTTCAGTGAACAGTGTAAAAATA